GTGTGTGTGTGTGTGTGTGTGTGTGTGTGTGTGTGTGTGTGTGTGTGTGTGTGTGTGTGTGCGTGCGTGCGTGTGTGTGCGCGCGCGCGCGCGATGCATGTATGTGCGTGCGTGCGTGCGTGCGTGTGTGCGTGTGTGTGTGTGTGTGTGTGTGTGTGTGTGTGTGTGTGTGTGTGTGTGTTTATATATAGGCTAAAGAATTATGAGGGTACATCTTTTAAAATGGGACACCTTATATATACACATACATACACAATGAATGTTAAACTACCCATTGTGTCCAAGTTCCTTTTTGTCCCAAAGAACTTCGCCCATTTTGAGCTATTCGCATCCAGTCATCAATTATATATAATTTTGTAGATAATAATGTATTAATGTTGTAGGTAGTATTTAAGAAAAAATAGTTTTAGATTCTCAAACCCCGGCTAAAAGTAGTTCTCACTTCCTAATGATGTTATTTTATTCATTCGACTCATCATCAGAGCATAACAAATATATCAAAGTATTTATACATTATTAAAAATTTATCCCAGAAAAATTATATCAAATATATTATATAAAAATATCAAATTATTGACATAATATGGGCACAGTAGCCTACAATATGAGCACCATTCTTACATGTGTAATAATATTCTTTAATAGAATCTTTTCCTTCAACATTTGTTTGTTACCGCCGTCACTATGAGGAGGTGTCTTGGATGCAAAAAGAAGTCTTTAAGAAAAATCATTAGTTAATTGAAAGCACGAAAAACATCGTGTAAAGATAAATAATAAACGTGTGGGATAACTTTGATAATGAACTATTGAACGAATAAAATAATATTAAGAGGTCAGAACTACTTTCGGCGGGAATTTAAAAACTGAGAAACTGAGAAACTTTTGAGAAACTAAAATTATTTTTCTTAAATACTACCATTATTATCTACAGTATATGATTGATGACTCGACGCGAATGACCCAGAAACCTCTACAAAAATGGGCGAAACTCTTTCTAAAATCACTTTTCTAAATTATGAGTAAATGTTATGTTTATACATGGTATTCTAAAATTTGTACACAGCGCGTGCGACACACACACACATACACACACAGAATGCACTGCATTAAAAACAATTTTTGAGGTTTTGTGGCAAAATTGCGTGCGTCTTAATAGTATTTAAATAATATTTTTTATTTAATTTAATTTTATATTTTTTTACTTTAACTTATGTGTTATACATTATAAATAATTTAATTAATGAAATGTAAAAAGTTTATTCAACATGATAATTCCTAATTGTGATAATTGCGAAGTGCGCATCGTCTTAAATTTACATGAAATCTATAATATTAATTCGTGAACTTTAAATTTCCATTTAATAATTATTTTAAATATAATTAAAAAAATATGCGTAAAATCTAGAATACCCTGTATATTCTGATATTGGTGTGTGTGGATAAGATATATACTTACAGATTGCAATTGTTCTCTACTGCCGGGTTGACTCCAGCCGCTATCTTCATCGTTATTAATATTATTATGTTGTTGATGAAATATATGAAGATTTGCTCCACCATCTGAAGCTCTTCTACCAAAGCCTCCAGCTGTAAATATACATAATATATAGTAAATTAATAATGCACTCGTTAGACTAATTGATCGTTATAAAACACAATATATATATAGAGTGTCCTCAAACTCTCCTTCGCAATTTTTGTGGGACTGTAAAACAAATTAAAGTGAACATAAATTCCTATATACCATTTTGCGATATTCACAATAAATCTCGAGATAATTAAAAAAGATTGGTAAATAATCACAAATGATATGGTAGATAAACTATAGTGGCGATATATGCTGCTGTGTGCTTGTATATTAGGTCAAATTGAATAAAAAAGCCCTTTATTATTTTTCAAATAATAAATAACTAGGTAAATTTTTAGTTATTAATGAAAGAAAATTGTTATATGATTGTGCGCGATAATGCATAAATCTTCTTTAATTAATATCTAAAAATTTATGTGGTCATTTGATAAAGAATTTTTTCAAAATAATAGAGAATTTTTTTTGTTCAATTTGACCTAATAGTTTGACCTATAAGTATACAATGGCGACGGCGCTACTAAATCTCATCTACCATATCGCACGTGATCATACAATCCTTAATTAATATCTCGAGATTTATTCTGAATATCACAAAATGACATGGACTTTTATGTTCGTCTCAATCTGTTCTACGTTTCCACAAAAATTGCGGAACAGAGTCTGGGACACCCTGTGTGTGTATGCATGTGTATGTGTGTGTATATATAAATAACATAAAAAATATAAAATACTTTATAATAACTTCAGATAATAGATAAACAACGTAGAAACGTTTGCAAATTCATGACATTTACATTTATATTCGTTTTTATAAAAACATCGTAATAATATAAAAAATCATATTCTTTATTAATTCTATATTAATTTAAGAGACAGAGGAAGATTAATATTAACTGTATAATATAAAAAAATTAATTTTAAATAATATAGATTTAGACGTAATTACAGTTATTAATAAAACAATAAAACTAGATTTTGCTCTTAATAGCTTTATCGTATTTTACTGTAATAAATAAAATAAAATTATTAAATTTTTTACATAAAAATTAACTTACTCGCACCCATTACAGGAGGTGGTTTCAATAAATGCTGATCTTTTATTTGGAAATTTTGAGGCGGTTGATGTTGAACTAATGGAAGATTCAACGGTAAATTTGTATGTGGCAAAACTTGTGGATCCATGTTACAATGAGGAATAGGAAGAGGCCGTAAAGTTTGATATCCAGACATATGATTATAAGGATATGATGTAGGAGGCTGATGTGCTGCATCACCAGGTCCAACTGTATGTCTTCTTGTTGTATGATACGGTGTTCCAGGTGGTAAGTAAAGACTACTTCTTTCTTCCGTTTCTGCTTCAGCTTCGCCAAACTATACATATATATGATGTTCTATTTTAATCTTTCAACACGATATCTCGAAACTTAGAAGTTATTAAAACAATATTGTAACTTGTTTTATTTCAAAGAGATTATATTAGAATCAACACAGTTTTTTATGTAGTTTCTTATTTCAAGAACACCACATAGCTTTATAAACAAAAATCATAAACTTTTCGCATAATTTTGTATACAAATCGATTATACTCATTATTGTGTATGAAAACACTGATGTAAAATCATTAAAAAATGGATACTTTTTGAGATATTTCAAATTTTAACCTGTTATTTTTCGGAATAAAATATAAAAAACTACATAAATTATTCAATTCTCAATAACTTTTCCATAATACTTTTATATGTAGAATATGTCAAGAAGAATCAGTTTATGACACTGACATTATTTGCATTTAGGCGAATAAATATATGTCTGACACAATGCGTAAGTCCATTTGTATATGCAAATAAAAATCATCAAACTGAATAAAAAAGTCCTATACTATTTTATAAACTACATGAATTTTTTACATATTAATTATAATAAATTGGGGCAAATAAGTACATATGATGTGGTGGAACAAGCTCTTTATGCTCATCAAAAATGGAATCTTATATAAAATATCTGAATCAATTGACAATCTCTTGACATCAGCGGACGATGTGTAATACTAGACAATGGAAATATATATTATATATATATATATATATATATATATATATATATATATTAATACTATCTAACATTATGCATATCCTACTGTTGTTAAGAGATTATTAATTGATTTATACATCTTGTATGAGATTTCGTATAAAGGAATCGTCCCGTGTCACTTGCATTTATTCGATAATTTTCTTTAAATAATATCTTAATGTTTATTGCGATTGTTTGTAAAATGGTGAAAAACTTTTTTGTTCAGTTTGATAAGTTTATGTAAGCAAACGTATATGTAAGCAAACGTACAAGTCGCTTCAAACACTCTATTTATGCAAAATATAATGAAATTTGTTATTTTTCTATGCATTTTTTTTTTGCATTAATCTACTCTTACATTATCTATTTCTTTCTTCAAAGGAACAATCAGAAAAAATCTTTTACGTATGTTAAGTACTTGTACTTCGCCAACCATGTCAGATTTGTGATGTTACAAGTAAGGAATAACATGCTAATGATAATTGCATGCCTTTTCTGAATAAAGATAAACTGACAAATAAACTTATTTAAAAAAAAGTTTTTACTAAAAATTTTATGTGATGTTGAAATCTCAGGAACAATTTCATCTAAAAATAAGAATTTGTACTATCTCTAAGATAATTCTTGTAAAATAGAACATTTATTCTAGATTTTTTTTATTATTTTGAAAGTACAATAGTGTTAAAATGTTAAACTATTAAAATAATAGACGGACGGGGATTTATACACAAAATAAAGTACATTATTTCTGTATATCAAAGAACTTTGTAAATGTAATCAGTTATCCGACTTATATTCGTTCTAATTCCTGGATTATATATTCGACTCATTCATACCCTTATCTTTACACATACTTGACTTATTCGAATTATTCGATTTACATTATAAAGTAAATGAAAGTAATAAAGTGTGTATATACATATATATATATATATATATATATATATATATATATATATATGTGTATATATATATATATATATATATATATATGTATGTATGTATGTATGTATACATAGGGTGTCCCACTACTACCGCATTATCTCTTAGGGCCTTTGCACATAGAAAAATTTTAACCGTAACCGTAAGGTCGTAAGAAAACTAATTAATCAGAGTTGATTATTCTCCTTGCGTTCGAGGAATAATCGACTGTGATTAGTCAGTTTTCTTACAACCTTATGGTTAAAATTTTTGTACGTGCAAAAAGCCTTTAAGGACAGATTTCTGAGATAATTTGAAGAAAAATTTCTAATAGAAAAATGTCGAGACTATAATACTTTTCAAATTATAAATAATTAAATTTGACCAATTATACTAGCTAAAGTAATTCTGAATCTCAAAATAATGTTTAACCTATTATCTAAACGATATCTCTGCTGGGTTAGCTATGAGCTAATAGATTAAACAAACATAAAGTATGTGTCTGTAACAAAATGCTCTTAATACATCAATGTTCAACGTGTTATGCACAAAAAAGGACGTAAACAAGTTTATGCGTGTATATGACAATGAAACATCTTGTTTAATCCTGTTTTGTCATGTACACTGCACAATAGTGGAATACAAGTTCATCGTATTTACAAAGTTCTGAACCATCACTTTGGTTCAGAACTTAGAGCATAAATAGAACCATCACTTTGGTTCTATTTATGCTAATCTATGGAATACAAGATATATGAGAAAGCTATATAAATATTTTTATGTTCTTTTTTAAATAGTAAAACAGTTACCTTCTCCAACTGATGTGCACCATCTGGTAAATAATCACCTGGTATACTTTGAATACTGGGTAAATTAGGCATTGTTGGTTCTAATCGGTCAACAAGTAAGTTGTATATAGCTGATACATGATCAAAAGCATTCCCATTAATGGCTTGTAATAATGTATCTGCGCTGAGTCCAGGTAATCTTAGCATATTCTCTATTACTAATTGGTTTAATTGTGGTGGTACGCTCACATCAGAATTACATCTGAAAATACATACTTTTTTCATGACATAAAACACAAGAGGAGAGAGACAATATGTGTTTACGTGTGCGTTCATATATATGTATGATACACACCCTCCAGGTTCTAACTCCGCTATTCCATCTCCATTCATCCATGAATGACCTAAGATTTGTGAAATACTTAAACGCCGCTCTGGTTCTACCACCAACATGTGCCTAATTAACTTTTCACAATCTGAGGGAGAAAGAAACAATAAAAATATTATGTCAATTTTTGTGAGCGCGCGCATGCGTGTATATACATATGTGTATGTGTCTGTATACGCTACATGTGCGTACGTGCGCGCAGTGTATGTGACATGCTTTTGTGATACACATACACATATGTACATAACACCACGACCGTCTGCCGTTGCCAAAAGTTCATCAACAGATTTGAGACATGCTGAATCAGATTTTGTTTACGAAATTTGTCCTACACCGTTTCTCGCACTTTCATTCACTGATATTATTTAATCAATTTTTAAATAATTATTGCGAAATCTACAAAAGGCCTTCTTGTTCACTTTGATATAGTGATAAATACATGAGCGTTGTGTTATTTAGATTTATATTAATAGTCGTTACTTGAAACTTGCCTCAAGTGAGACACTCAGATTTTAATTTAAAATTAAACCTGAGTTTTTTCAGTTAAATCGTGATTGCAAATATAATATCACATATATATTACATAATTCAAATTCAGATAACAAACTAGGTAAATATACTGTTTAAAGGACTCATCTCCGATGACCTTGCCTATTACATATATTATCAAGGATACTTTCCTGATTAATATTCAAGAAATTTTAGCTGTTGCTCATTGTTTATTAAAAAGTTAATAATAAAAAAGTTTTCACAAATAGGAATATTAATAGGTTATTAATAGAAAAATTTTCACGTAATTTTCCGACACCATGTATATATTTAAGGAGTTAACGCGTACTATATGTGTGTTATATACAAATATATTTATTATATTCCGAAATTTACTCTCCTATTTTGATTTCTTCGTTTAAATATATAAGATATTCTTACTTAGTATCTTCTGCTCAATGTTATTATTCTTAGTCACTGATATAGTCAGTCATTTGAATAATTTCAACAAAGTTTCGTAAACTTCGAAAATATATTTACACAAATTTATTCATATGACTTATTTCGAATCTGTGGAATTTCTTATATGAAAAAAGTCGTTCGCAATAAAATAATGTGTCTTAGCAGAATATATTAAGAATTAAGAATTAATGTTTCTGAAAATCCCTAAGATCCCTGAGGGTAATATGGCCAATTAACTGTAAAAGACGTAATTTGCACGGAAAAATTCAAATCAAACTAGTATGTTCTTCTTTATATGTTATTAGAGCACCTGACACAATTGCCGTTCTGAATTATCGCGTACAGCTCTCATTCTATGGAGTTCATATGTTTGACGATTTCGTACTGCGCTCCGGTAAGATTGTTATTGTTCTCATGTTTATTAATTTATAATATTAGTTGAATAATTGCTTAATATGCAGTTCTTTATGCTGATTCTAATAACAATATCAAAATTTAGTTTACTTTAACCAGTAATGTAATATTAAGAACATTTTTATGAAATGATACATGTTGCTAATATAGCCACTTTTGGCTATATTACCAACCTATAGTGCCATAACCTGTAATGCTATACATGATTAAGCGTTATCAAAATATTTTTACTTTTCTACTTTTAGATATGAATCTTGATCCTGATCCTGATCCTTCAAAAAAGAAGCGTGGTAAATGGATACAAGAAAATCTGCCCAAGGAAAATCTATCTTACTATCTATCAGTATTTTTTTATAACGTGTTTTTTTAAATAAATATTACTTCTTTTGTTATAAACTTTCTTTACTTCCATTATAAATTGCATTAATTATGATTATAATTAAAAAATTCAATTTTAAAAAGATAAGAAAAAGTGGCCATATTACTTTCATATGTTTTTAATGGTTCATATGGTTTAAATGCAGATTTTTGAAAATGAATTATTTTCTTATGGTTTGAATTGAATGTCTTTTTTCATGATTTTTTTATAATTACCAAAGGTCCAAAGTAAACTGTAGCGTAAGCAGAATTTGAAAATTCTATAAAATAATAGCTGGAGAATTTTTCAAACTTTAGCATGGTCATATTACTCTCAGAGACCTTATATATTGTATTCTTATGTATGGAACGTAATTTTTATACATAGTATACATTGAAATATGGTAAACAGGACACATATATGCGCGGAGGAGGGACTCCGCCGCTCCGCCTGCACCTCCTCCCCAAAAAACTAACCCAACCTAACTTATCCTTTATTATTTTTATATTCTTACTCTGTATCTTTTGTATTTTTATATTATTTCTCATTTCTCAAGAAACTATGTACAAAGATGCAAATGATGGATTGGGTTGGATTTTTTGGGGGAGAGGGTGCAGGGAAAGGACGAAGTTTCTCGTCCTTGTGCATGTATATGTATTGTTTACCATATTTCAATGTATACTGTATGTAAAAGTTTCGTTTAATTTATAAAAATTTTTATTAACATTTTAGTAAATAATAAGCGACGACTAAAACCTCTTAAATTTTACTCAAGAGGATGTTCTTGATAATATATGTAACAGGCAAGATCATTGGAGGTGATCATAAGTCCCTTAAATAGGATATTTATCAAAAACTTTTATTTAACTCTAAATTCAAAGTTGAGTATTTTACATAGGACAAGTTTCAAGTAACAACTATTAATACAAGCCATACATCTTACATATACAGATATGAAGTACTAAGGAAGTGATATTACAGTACTCGGAATAGAGATAGCAGCTAGATAGTTATAATTAATCATTTTTTGTTAATGTTAGAAGACAGATCGAAAAAATCTCCATGAAAATTTATTTTTTAAATAAAATCATATAGTTTTTTTTAATATAAATTTCTTTCTGAAGTCAAGCTACGTATAAAAGCAATGAAATAGAATCAATGAAAAATAGATATTTCCTTCTCTCTCCATGATATTTTATATTTCATCCTGATATTTTCCAGCATACTATGAGATATAAAATATTTCGTAAATAAGTTTTTCGAGGATCTTATCTTAACACTTCTGTGTTCCCACTTCTGTGTTTTTTTTAGTTTAAAATATTATGGTCTTCTTTGTTTTTTATGTTTAAATAAACATAAGTCAACAATTTAATATTTTTATCTTTTTGCCAAAATTCAGAAATTTAAGGGGATAATAAAATATCGCAAACAAATTTTTTAGAGTACATTAAAAGTACAATAATCACTTCAACGCAAGAATAATTCTTCATTTTTTGGTTTCACATAGAAAAGTAAGTAACAGTAATAAATTTTTAAACTTATTAAGAAATATGTACACAGAATGACTGACACAACATATACATTCGCTCATGTAGAACTTATTAAACAGAAAATCTTATATTATTTTGCAAACCGCGAAAATTACTAAGATATTAATTAGAGAGACTTAGCAAATAAGTGCGCGTGATACCGTAGAACGAAATTAAAGCAAAATCTCATCCAAAATATCTGGATCTGTTGACAATCTCCTAACAATGCTAAGCGTATAATACTGGACTCTAGATGCGTGCACTATAATACTGTCCAGTATTATCCACCAGCCGCCGTTGTCAAAAGATTGTCAGTAGATTCAGACATCTTGGATGAAAATTTATCTAAAGAGCTTGTTCCACTGCACGTTTATATATTCGCTAATTTTTTTTTAATTAATATCTATCGTATTATTAATAATAATTACCTGTCTCAGTTATTTATAAAATAACAGGACTTTTTTATTCAATTTAATGAATTCTATCTCCATAGGAACAAACGTACACGTTGTGTCAGATAACCTGTATAACCTGACAGAATCGTAAAGGTTAACATTTTTATGTATAGGAAAACAAGAGAAAAATTAATTGATAATATTGAACTTTCCGCACTAATGTATCACAATGCATGTACACTCGACACTATTTCCTAGATCAAAAGTTACACGATTTTTAACTTTATGCATAAATAAGATTGAAACCATAATAATTAAAGCCCTTATAACTCTACCATTATAACTAAAGTTACTTACACAATTTTCAATCTCAAGTATTATGTATAAGATTGAAAATCATGTAACTCTCGATCAAAAAAATTATAAAGCATTTCCATGGCGCCGTTTGTACAAATATAATAGTATTTTATCTTTTTCTATGTTTTTTCATATCGATTGATTTCATCCATCATTCTACATACAAAAGTATTAAGAGGCATCTTATTTTTAAGTGCTCGAAAAAATAAGCTATATTTAAAAATTTTTTTATTGTAGGAAAAATTCCTTTACACACCGAATTGTAACTTGGTATATTTATTACATAAGAATAATGAAATGTTCATAAAAAATAATTATTGTTTGGAAACGTTACACTTAAAACTTTGAATGTGTTTTTCTCAAAACTATGCCTTAAAAGTTGGCGTACAAGATTTCTCAAAGATTGAGTCAAATGACTTCAAACTTACCACATATCTTCAGTGCGTATATATTAAATGTACATACTTACGAAAAATAAGAAATTATTGTAATAAAATAGCATCAAAGCAAAGGTAAAAATGCCGAATAGAGGACCACTTTCCAACGATCTTGATATTGACATATATTATAGAACTGACCCTCCTGAGTCACAATAAAAAGCTTTTAGCCGTCGCTCGTTGTTCGTTAAAAAGTTATTAACAAAAGAAGTTGCATAAAATGAATGTAATATTTGGATACCGTATATACAAAAACATCGAATTTGTACACTAGGAAGGTGCCTGCTACACACTGCTTGCTGCTTTTGTGTGTGTGTGTGTGTGTGTGTGTGTGTATGTGTGCGTACGTATGTAACTGAACGTAACACACGGCTTTTAATTTTCAAATTATAATCTCAATATGCAAACCTAAGTATATTAAGTATATATTAAGTACATTAAGTATATATTTAATCTAACATTAAGTATAATACCCTTATTATTAAATCAAAGTATGTATGTAAAATAGTACATGTATATGCGTGGGGGATCGGCTCTGACCCTCTCTCCGCACTCCCTTCCCAAAAAAACTAACTCTAATCTACTAAACTAATAAACTAATAAACTAAAACTAATCTAACATATCTATTGAAATATGGTAAACCGTATATTTTCATGTTGTTTTCCATTGATAAATTATGTACGAAAATATAAAGAATTATGTATATACATGTACAGTTTACCATATTTCAATAGATGGGTTAGGTTAATGTTTTGAGTTAATTTTTTTGGGAAGGGAGTGCGGGGGGAGCGGCGGAGCCCTTCTCCCGCATATTTACGTGTAATATTTTACGTACATACATCGATTTAAACTTATTGTACATACACAGTGTTGAATAACTATGTATTATTTATTGAACTTTTCTTGTTAATATCTTTTTAATAAACAATGTGCGACGATTAAAACCTCTTGATTGTTACTCAAGAGGGTGTCCTTGTTAATATATGTCAACATCAAGACCATTGGAGAGTGATCCCCTATTCGGCATTTTTATCCTTTTCAATAATCATACTTCAATATTTCTGTATGTAAATGCTCTGAGAAATCATTTCATGTTAAAAAAAAGCAATTTTATTTAAAAAACCGTGTTTAACATTGAAATAACCTTGAAAACAAAATTTCAATATCATAATATTATTACTATATTATTATTTGATATTTTAGTTATATTTGATTTTTTGCTATATGAAATTATTCTTTCTGGTTAATGTTATCTTCGTGGATTTTTTCCCAACGTTTTTCCATTCGGTCATACCTTTCTTTAGAAAAATGAACTAGAATATTCACAAAACGTCAAAAACAAATCCACGAAGGACGTGGCACCATTCATTAATAATCTGGAAACCAGATCAAACAATATTATCATCTTATCTTCCTTTCGATATCTTACAATGTCGATTTTAACATTTTTTTCTAAAATTTTTAAGTTATTGAGATGCATTATTTTATTTACAAAATTCAGTGTATGTATGCATATGTGCACACACGCGCACACATGCATGCACAAAACATCAAACAATAGTACAATGCTCAAATGAAAGCAGAATACATTGAACTAAATAGAAAATTTCTCTAACATTTTATGAGAAATATATATCACAATAATTATTTAAAACTAATTAATGAATTTGAGATAAACTTAGCAAATAAATACGTGGGAAGTAGAAGAATGAGCAATAGAATAAGTAAAATTCCATACAAGACACCTCATATCTGTTAACAATCTCCTGGTAATGATAAATGATATATCCTAAATATGCATCTTCATTGTTTTTTATTACACACTACCATTGACAGAATATTAGGCCTGTTTTTTGTAGCTGCACTGTTGAACTGTGCAATATACTGAAGTGAGACAAATATATGTTTTCTCACTCTAACTTATTGCACTAATTCAACAGCGCAGCTACAACAGAACAGGCCTATTGTTAACAGATTCCAACTATCTTAGATGAGCATTTTGTATATACGCACAAACGCGCGCATACGTCACATATGTATACATGATACACGCGTACATACCTGCAGACATAAAAAATGGTATTCTGAATTTGCCTGAGATAACTACAGATCGTAATAATTGCATCGTAGGTCCATCAAATGGTAGAGCACCACAAACTAATACATATAAGACAACACCAAGGCTCTGAAACATTATGAAATATTATATATATATATGTATGTATGTATATATACATATATATATATATATATATATATATATATTTACATACATATAAACTAATACATATAAGACAACATCAAGGCTCTGAAACATTATGAAATATTATATATATGTATGTATGTATGTATGTATGTATATATATATATATATATATATATATATATATTTACATACATATAAACTAATACATATAAGACAACATCAAGGCTCTGAAACATTATGAAATATTATATATATGTATGTATGTATGTATGTATATATATATATATATATATAATATATTTTAAATAAAATTAAAATACAAATATATGAGTTTTTTTAAATAAAAAATATATGAGTTTTATAAGAGAATAAAAACTTAACTTACCCATACATCAGCTCTTGGACCATCATAATGCTTTCCCTCAAAAATCTCAGGTGCAGCATATGGTGGTGAACCACACCATGTACTGAGTGGAACACCAGGTGTGTATTCATTACTAAATCCAAAGTCAGCAAGTTTTATGTTATTGTCTGCATCAAGTAATAAGTTTTCAGCCTAAGAATGTTAAAAAAAGTAATTATATGAATACATACAACTATGTAATACAATAAAACTTATATATTAACCTAATTAAAATCAAAATATTAAATTTTAATGTAATGTAATAATGTATGACTAAACCTTAAGATCTCGATGAACCACTCTTTGTTGATGTAAATAACGAACTGCAAGTACAATCTGATGAAAAATTCTTCGTGCTTCTGGTTCTGGCATTCTACCATTTCGAACAAGATGATCAAATATTTCACCTCCAGGAGCATATTCTGTCACTAAATATATCATTTTTTCTGTTTCCATCACTTGATACAGTCTTATGATATGTGGATGTCGTAACCTTTTCATTATATGCACTTCTCGAAAGATTTTTGCTAAATTTTCTTCGTTTAGTTTAGTTTTATCTATTATCTTTATAGCAACCTATAAAAAAGAAGTCAGTTATTGATACATATGCACATTGATATGTATATACACATTGATATGTATATATATATGTATACATGTATGTGTATATTAAATTGATACAAAGCAAATCTACTGTATGTAATTTAATATTTTATTTAAAGTATAATTTTTTATAGAATACATAGCATGTCAAGAAATAAGTATTTTTTACTTAATAAAGAAGCTTTGATAATATATTTTTAATATATAAAAAAGTTTATGTTAAAATACCTTCTAAAGCCAATATTCTAAACTGACTACAACAATATTATTATACCAAATAAAAATATTGACTATGATGTATTAAAAGTTATAGAGAAATAACTTTCATATTTACATATTTATGAAAAAACTATATATCTCTGTGTATACTATTATAAATATATCAAATATTCTTATAAACTTATTAATTATATAATTATTGTATATCGTACACAACATATACATGCAAAGTCAGAAACGTTAGTATATCAAATTATAGAAATATAATTTCTAATGTTAAATAAAATTACCTGATATTTTTCTGTTGTAATATCTGAGTATCACAATATCACAATATGATATGTATATATGTTTACATACATATGTATTTTAATATACATACATATTATCTTTATTATTGTGATATATCTATTTGTTCTTCGATATAATCGTAGTTGAATAGAAAAGAAATGAAAAAAAAATTTTAAGAAATTAAAATTTAAATACATTATGTCAGAAAAACCAATATAAAATCAACAAAAAATATCTTTTTAAAATTACATAAAATTGATAAAAAATGTAATATAAACATTTATGTTACTTAATATTTTATTGTAACTGCAAAATATTATTGTTTTTGTTTCATTTATCTGATTTATTATTGAGAAGAATTAAGAAATTTATTATCTACACACTTTAAATAATATAACAGTGATGGTTCTTGGCATTGATAAATTGATATATTTTTTTAAAGTTGCAAATTATATGTGCATAATTACAAAATATAATTGTATTAGTGTATATTAAAAACCTAAAATTGAAGGAAATATTCGCATAACTATCCAAAAGATATTAACGACAAAATGACGGATTTCGTTTGCGAATGAAAGATCTCTACGGTGTTTCTTACCTTAGATTTTGTTACAACATGGGTGGCCATTTTAACTACGGCAAAATTTCCCTTGCCGATAGTTTTTTCCAACTCATAATAACCGACACGTATAAGTTTGTTGACACAAAATTCCTGTGAAACCTCATTGTGCGACGTCGGCGCGGATGCCATTTTTTAATCACTTGTCTCGCTCGTGCTCCACTCGTTGCCAATCAACTGGCTAATATGACGTTGTCTCCGATAGAGGCGTTACAAACGCTTTTAGAAACTGCCATCTAGTGGTCTCAGACAGACTCAAAGACATACAGGCCAGCAGCCCTATTCTGTAACGGGTGTATATCAGTTGGACACGGGGCAATTGGACACGGTCCAATCACAAGTCGCTGTTCCAAGGGACCCTACAAATGTCTCTAATCACACGGTGCTGTGATTGGCTGTGTCCAAATGCACCGTGTCCAAGTGCACCGCTCCCTTCTGTAACTCTTTATTGGAGTTAACGACAGTTTCGTTATCGTTGCGCAGCTTTTGTATACCGTAGAAAAGCTGCGCAACGATAACGAAATTGTCGTTAACTCCAAAAACGAGTTACAGAATCCCAGCACAGGGTTGGGCAAGTAAAATATTTGATGTAAATTACACAATTTAATGGCTCTTGCACGCAGGACGCGGTAATGCTTGCCGCGCGGCGGAAGTTCGCGCGACAGCCAATTAATATGCTGCTTTCCGTAATAACCTTCTAGCTCTTACGGAAAAACAACATATTGATTGGCTATCGCGCGGACTTCTGCCGCGCGGCAAGCATTACCACGTCCTGTGTGCAGTAGCCATTAGACATGTAAAATACTAGGTATTTTATGTCCTTAGGCTGAGTTCCCACTAGCGCGTCACGCGTCGCGTCGTCGGAGTTAAGTCAATCAAATCGCCTCATTTTATTCGGCGTAAAGTTATACAATAAAATGGGACAATTTGATTGGCTTAACTCAGACGCGCTACGTGCTAAGTGGAAACGCACCCTTAGATTTTTACTGTAAAATACATCGAATGCTGTATGAGTCTTTTCAGGCCATTGCTGAAACTTTATACTGTTTGTTACAGAGTTTGGCAAGTAAAATATTTGATGTAAATTACACAATTTTAGCATGTAAAATACTAGGTATTTTATGTCCTTAGTTTCTTACTGTAAAATACATCGAAAGTTGTATGCGTCTCTTCAGGCCATTGCTGAAACTTTATGCCATTTGTCATATGTGATAGTTAAGGATGAATTCATACCTTGACAGAAAAGCAGAAAACAGGAAAGCCAATCAGAAGCCATCATTTTTTGGGAACATGCCTCGGTGTTTTCCGAGAATTCCCTTCATAATGGGTGCTTCCCAATTGCTTAACACATCTTGACACACAAGTACACAAAGCCAGTTTATTGATCACATATTATCTAAAATATCTTGTAAGATAATATGCAATCAATAAACTGGTTTTGTATAACACAGTGTACGCAACTGGAAAACACCCATTATTAACTGGTAATTGATGAAAGGGCCAAAGAAAATCTGAAACCATATAAAGAAAAAGAAAGAAAAAGAGTGAAAGAAAGAAAGAAAAAGAAAGAAAGAAACCAGATTAAAGCTGGCCATACATACTTTCCGTAAGGGCCTTGGCACACAGAAAAACTTAAGCAGTAATGGCTTCTGCATACAGGATGCAGTAATGCTTGCCGCGCGGCGGAAGTCCGCGCGACAGCCAATCAATATGTTGTTTTTCCGTAAGAGCTAGAAGATTATTACGGAAAGCAGCATATTGATTGGCTGTCGCGCGAACTTCCGCCACGCGGCAAGCATTATCGCGTCCTGTGTGCAGGAGCCATAAGATGTAAGCAGTAAGCAAATTGACCAATCACAGTCGTTGATTCTTGGACCGTAAAAAGAATCATAGGGCGCATTCAGTAGAAAAAACGCTCAGTGAACAATCAACGATTATTGGTTCTTGCTATTAGATCCCTAAATCTAGACCAATTACATTGACAAATTACTCAACTGTTGTGCAACTGTTGAGTCTGCTGAATGCAGCCAATGACTGTGATAGGTCAATTTGCTTACTGCTTACGTTTTACTGCTTAAGTTTTTTTATGTGCCACCAGCTTAACAGTAACCGTAATGGCTCCTGCACACAGGACACGGTAATGCTTGTCGCGTGGCGGAAGTTCGCTCGACAGCCAATCAATATGCTGCTTTCCGTAATAACCTTCTAGCTCTTACGGAAAAACAACATATTGATTGGCTGTCGCGTGGACTTCCACGTCCTGTGTGCAGGAGCCATAAGACGTAGGCTGCGTTCCGCAAAGCGCATCATGCGCATGATGCGCTCCGTTGGAGCAAAAGAGATACGAGAGTTAGATAAAAAGAGAGGGAGAGTACTCGGGTGATGTTCTCGAATGAGAGCTCATGGACTACACTACCTCGGGAGCTGAGGCAGCCTATGCGCTCTCATGCGTTCGAGAACATCACCTAAGTGCTCTCCCTCTCTTTTTATCTCACTCTCGTATCTCTTTCACTCTAATGCAGCATATCATGCACATGATGCGCTCTGCGGAACGCAGCCACAATGTAAGAATTGACCAATCATGTTGAGAATCATCGAATTGTAAGGTCGTCATTTTTGTGAATACTCGATCGTAATTGGTCAATTCTTACGTTACGTTTTAGGTATTACGTTACGTTATTTTACGTGTCGTACGACAAGCTTTTCGGATACGTTTATTGGTTGGCGAATAGAGTATTTCTAGGTTCTTTGTTCGTCAACCAATGAACGTATCCAAAAAGTTTGTCGTACGACACAAATATCAGCCTTACGGTTATTGTTACGGAAAGTATGTGTGGCCAGCTTAACGTTGTCGTGTAAACGTATATAGTTAGGCAAGTGTCCTATTAGGCGGAAATTCTTAGCGAAACGAAATGCACGCACCAATCACAGTTACTCCATCCTTATCGTAAATAAATTGGAGTAAAACGGGGAGCACACTCTTGCATAAAGGCATAATATATAACGCATAAGAAAATTGACCAATCAAAGTCCTTCATTTTCATCGTGACAATAAAAGTGAGGATTCTGATTGGTTAATTATCTTATGCGTTGGGCATTATGCCTTTATGCAAGGAGTCTGTGCTTCCCGCTTTAAGAGTATAAACTCATGCAGCGAAATAGCGGAGCGCGGAACGAGAGTGAAACCAATCACGAGCGTTCCACAGTTTTTACTCGTGATTGCTTTCGCTCATGATTGGTTCCGCTCTCGATCCGCGCTCCGCTATTCCGCTGCATGGGTTTGCACTCTAACTGTGATTGGTACGCGCGTTCCGTTCCGCTAAGAATTTCCGCCTAAATGGACATCGGCTTCAATGCTCTGCAATATTAACAAATCAATCAATCAAATAAATAAAAAACGAAGTTCGACCTCTTTCTCTTTTACTTCATAATTTTAAATAAGGTTAGATAGTTTTAAGTTTAAGCCCGGTTTCAACGCAAGTTAATCAAATTAAATTGTCCAATCGCTTAGATCAGTTTAGCAATTGGACAATGCCGTTGAGTCAATTAACCGATTTGATTTTAGGTTAGTAAAACCGGACATTAGATATTTTATATATGAATATTACGTTTTTTACATATTTTACGTAAAGCCAGCGGCACATGATGCTTGTTTTCATGCTAGATTGCTTGCTAGATGGAAATATTCTGTTCTGATTGGTGTATTTCTGAAGACGGACCAATAAGAATAGAGTATTTCCATCCAACAAGCAATCCAGCACGAAAACAAACATCGGGTGCTTTCCAATTGCTTAAAGCCCGTATCAGACTACGGATTAAAATTGAGATTGAATTAAAAACTAGCCAATCAGAGCAAAGTTCACCAAACTTGAGCTTAGTGAATTTTGCTCTGATTGGCTAAATTTCAATTCAATCTCAATCCTAATCTATAGTCTGATACGGGCTTAACCCATCTTGACACACACGTACACAAAACCAGTTTATTGGTTACATATTATCTAAAATATTTTGTAAGATAATATGCAACCAATAAACTGGTTTTGTGTAACACAATGTACGCAAATAGAAAGTACTCATTATGTGCCGCTGGCTTTATGGTTCCTGCACATAGGACGCGGTAATGCTTGCCGCGCGGCAGAAGTTCGCGCAACAGCCAATCAATATGCTGCTTTTCGTAATAATCTTCCAGCTCTTACGGAAAAACAACATACGAGGGTGGTCTGAAAAGTTTCCGACCTAACAAAGATACAAGTCATTTTTTCTGAAAATTGTTTTTTATTTTTCAACATAGTCTCCTTGTAAATCTACACACTTCTCCCAGCGATGCTCCCATCTCTGTAACCCGTCGAAATAGTACTCGGCGTTTTTCTCTGCAAAATAATTGTTCACGAAGGTGATTGCCTCTTCATTTGACGAAAATCTCTGTCCTCCGAGCGCAATTTTTAGATGAGGGAACAAAAAGAAGTCGCTTGGGGCTAGATCTGGTGAGTAAGGTGGATGGTCAAGCAGTTCAAACCGTAATTCGTGGATTTTCGCCATGGCAACCGCTGAGGTGTGAGACGGTGCGTTGTCTTGGTGAAACAGGATTTTCTTTTTCTGCAAATGTGGCCGTTTTCCCGCAAGTTCTGCCTTCAGCTTGTCAAGTAATGATGCGTAGTATGCTCCTGTAATGGTTTTTCCTTTTTGAAGATAATCGATTAAAATAACTCCATGACTATCCCAAAAAACAGTCGCCATCACTTTCCCAGCCGAAAAAACAGTTTTTGCTTTTTTTGGAGCCGGTTCCCCCTTTGCAGTCCACTGTTTGGACTGTATTTTTGTTTCAGGCGTATAATGGTGTATCCAAGTTTCATCTACAGTAATTAATCGGCGCCAAAACTCGGATTTATTGCGCCTAAACTGCTCCAACAGAGCGTTGGAAATGTTCATTCGAACACGTTTTTGGTCTAACGTGAGCAAACGCGGCACCCAACGCGCGGACAGCTTTCTCATGCCTAAATGTTGATTTAATATGCGACAAACACGTTCTTTTGACATGTTCATAACCTCTGCTATCTCTCTCACTTTAATTCGGCGGTCGTCTAGCACCATTTGGTGAACTTTGGCGATGTTTTCGTCGGTAGTTGCAGTTTTTGGACGTCCTGAACGTTCATCGTCTCCCAAGCTCTTACGGCCACGTTTAAAT